AGAGAGAGATAGAGAGAGAGAGAGAGAGAGAGAGAGGGAATATGAATATAAAGCAAAGAATGACATTACCAGTGTTGGTTCAGGGAGGGGGACACAAGCAGGACACAAGCAGAACTATTAAGGGAACAGGGTTGTTGGACTTGGAGAAGACCCAGAGGAGGGCATAGTCTCTGTCCTTTAGTGTGTGATGAGAGTGCCAGTGGGGACAGTGTGACCTCATCATTAGGGCCCAAACACGGAGAGGAAGGAGATCAGGCTCCAGCTAAAAGCTAGCACCAGTCTTCATCCCTCTTTGCCAGTTGTGGCAAAGGCAACACCTACACTAAGTACCCCCAAACTGCACATAAGTCACAGAGATGGCAGCTCAAATATTTGGCTGTTCAGTGCTGTTCAAAGATGGGGTGTGCTGCTTTGGGGGCGTGAGGCTCTTGTCAAGAGCTTGATAACACTTTGAGTGGGCCGCCATTCATTAGGGATCAAGTTTCCTCACTGCCTGGGTGTCCACAACATGGCCTTCCCTTTTGGCATGAAGATAAGGAGGGGTTCTTTGATAGAGGGACCTAACAGCTGGTGCTACATGCAACTGGAATCCTGCAGTGTCCCTGGGGTTTGAGGACCTGGCACATAGAGATCAAAACACATCCTTCTTCACTTGTTTTCCACCTGAATGGAGTGTCTGGTGGGCTCTGAGAAACAGAATGTGAGGGTGTGGAAAATAAGAACTGTGTGCAGGTAGAGGCTGAGTTGGCCTGGGAGTTAGCAAACTTTAATTTCTTCTTTATGGGCTCTAATGGATGGAGATCAGTATGGACTGATGATCCTGAGGGCCTTTCTAGCTTGTTCCATGAGGTGGAACAGACTCAACCTCTGCTGAGACTGCTGGGGTGGAAACAGAAGGGGCAGGTCAGTCCCAATTCTGTTTATGGGGATATTGCTCTACCACAGGTAGGAGACTGTGTTCATATTTCCAGATATCTACAGTGATAGAACAGAACATTTTGGCTCTGGGGACAACCAAAGTTATGAGTAGGCTGGGTCTGTAAAATTTTGCATGGCTGTTAGAAATTCCCTGAGAGAACCTCTGATAAAGGCTTGGGAACACATTAACTATGTGCCTCTTCCATAGCAGACTGACCCTAGGTCATCCAGTGAGTTAGTAACAGAGGTAGGACCAGAGCCCAGAGCTGCATACTCCTTTTATCTGACTTCCAGATAATCAGAGCAATCTGAATTCCTCTGAGGACATAGACTTCATTGAACAATGATTATATATTGTATTTTTGCATCCAAGCTCTGGCCTCTCTAGAAGGTTCATGTACTTCTCTTTGACATTAGAAGTCTGGAAAGAAAGATGTGCTAGTGAAATCCTACTGGAAAGAGGGAGAGAGATAGGGAGAAAGAGACATGGCAGGAGGTGGTTGGAAGAACCACGGTCTAGAAGCTCAGGATTATGGTCACTTTAAAACCAGACCCTGACTTGAGATTTTATAATGTTTGATTGCAAGGCCATCAGATGTCATGCAAACAGTGAGCTCAGTTTTATGAACAGGGAGACAGAACCCAGAAAGACAGAGGGTCTGTCCCAAGGCCCCAGAGTGGGTAGTGGCAGAGCTGGGTGCGGAGCACAGGGCTCCTGACTTCTAGTCCATGGGTCTGTTTCTAGCTTTCAGTTTTCCCATGGAGCAGGGAGAGTTAAGAACAAAAATAAGTGTTTTCATGGTGACAACAGATACTGGAACTGAGAACTGTTGAAACAGCTGGAGATGACCAGAAAATAAGTGCTATGAGCCCCCCTGATTCTGTCTTGTGAGAGAATGCCAGCAGATGACTCTGGGCTTGTGTACAGAAAGCTGCCAAGTCATGAGTCAGGGCAGTCAGCTCTCCATAA